CATTCGGAAAAATGCTGCACTTGCAGAGCTCAGGCAGTGTTGTATTTAAGTGTCAATGTTGACTTTTGTGGAGAGGTGGCTGCCACGGGAACGGAAATGATCAACATTTTCTAATGTTACACCATTGAGCTGTATTTCTGGCATTGGAGAGGGGTTGGCTGGTGTCTGCTGGAACAGCACCTTGGTTTTTTCAATGTTCAATGACAGGCTGAGCTTCTCGTATGCTCCTGTGAAGGTGTTTAGAGTGGCTTGTAGATCTTCTTCTGAATGCGCACAGATGACATTGTCATCAGCATACTGGATTTCTATAACAGATGTTGTTGTGACCTTGGTTTTGGCTTTCAGTCTGCTGAGGTTAAGCAGCTTGCCATCTGTCCAATAGATGATTTCCATTCCGGTGGGAAGCTTCCCATCAACAAGGTGAAGTATCCTAGTGATGAAGATGGAGAATAAAGTTGAGGCAATAACACATCCCTGTTTGACACTGGATTCCACCTTAAATGGGTCACTTTGGGAGCCATTGCTTTCCAAAACTGTTGCCATCATGCCATCATGGAGGAGCCGCAGGATGTTCACAAATTTGTCAGGGCACCCGATTTTTTGGAGGATGGTCCAGAGAGCGCTGCGATTCACTGTGTCGAATGCCTTTGCAAAGTCGATGAATTTCATGTACAGAGGTGGATTTGGCTCCCTGCCTTTTTCTTGGAGCTGTCGTGCAGTGAAGATCATGTCCACGGTTCCTCTGGAGGGGCGGAAGCCGTTCTGGGATTCTGGGAGGGTGTCTTCTGAGAGGGGCAGAAGGCGGTTTGCAAGGATTCTTGCGAGGATTTTCCCAGCGGAGGTTAGAAGGGAGATACCTCGATAGTTTCCGCAGTCTGTTCTTTCCCCTTTTTTTTTGAAGAGGGTGATGATGGTGGCATCCTTGAAATCTGCTGGGATTTTCTCGGTCACCCACACTTTTTCTATGAGCTGGTGAAGTTGGTGTGTCATCTCAGGTCCTCCCTCTTTAAAGATTTCAGCAGGGATCCCATCAGGTCCGCTAGCTTTGTTATTTTTTTGTTGGCTGATGGCATTGCTGACTTCTTCCAAACTAGGCAGTGCTGCAAGCTCATCCCTGGTTTGTTGTTGTGAGATTTGTGAGAGAACCTCTTCGGCCACATTGGAGCTGCGGTTCAGGAGCAAAATAATACAACAATAAATAAAGCTCATAAACAGAAAATATCAATAACCATTAACAATAACACAGCAATGTTTAAAAACCTATGACAGGGCCAAATGTACTAATTAAAATTAAAAAATAATAATGCTGGGCGTGACCAGGTGACATATAAACAGGATAGAAATTTTGGAGATGGATAAAGCGTGTAGACAATTCTAGATCACTACTAAAGTGCATTTAGGGACATATTGCTGCAAGTTTCCTTATTCTGGGAAGGCACACTGGAACAGGCACGTTTTCAGGCTCCTCCGAAAGACTGCCAATGTTGGAGCATGTCTGATGTCCCTGGGGAGTGAGTTCCAGAGTCGAGGGGCACCACCGAGAAGGCCCTGTCCCTCGTCCACGCCAATCACGCTTGTGATGGAGGCAGGAGCACGAGCAGGGCCTCTCCAGATGATCGAAGAGATTGCGTGGGTTTGTACACAGTGATGCAGTCATACAGGTAGGAGAGTCCCAAAGCGTTCAGGACTTTGTAGGTAAGCACCTGCACCTTGAATTGGGACCGGAAAATGAACGGCAGCCAATGGAGTTCCTTAAACAGGAGGGTTGACCACTCCCTGTAAGGAGCTTCAGTTAACAATCTGGCCGCCGCTCATTGAACCAATTGAAATTTCCGGCCCGTTTTCAAGGGTAGCCCCACGTAGAGTGCATCACAGTAGTCCAATCAGATGTTGTTGTACCCTTGGTTTTGGCTTTCAGTCTGCTGAGGTTAAATACTAGATTATTTCCACTCTGGTGGGAAGCTTCCCGTCAACAAGATCAAGTGACTCCCATGCAATATGTGTGCACTTCATTCTTATTGCCTACGCAGAGTGCCTTACATGTCTCCCTGTTATGAGTTTTGTATTGCCTACCCATGGTGCCGTACATCTCTCCCTTTTATGAGCTCTCTGATCTGTTCGGGTCATTTAGGATTCTGGTCCTGTCCCCTGGGCATTGGCTTTCCCTCCCAATTTGGTGTTAAAGTCGGTGCAGGTGTTGTGTACAGAACTCGGCACGCTTTTCTTCGCTCACGCCTTCGCAGTCATTTGTATTCGCCGTCCTTGATGCTGGAAGAAACAGGACCCATTAGCGAGCTGCAACGCGGCGGTGGCGGTGGCATTGCTCCCCGGGTTTGTCTTGCTTGCCTCTCCCCCTTCCCCGGCCTTCAGATGCATTTCTGATAGATCCACTGCCTTGGAACGTCTTCTGTCTTCTCACCGCGAGCGCTGCTCTGCCAGGCCTTCTCCCATTTAAGTGATGCAAAGATCCTAATGAAACCTGCCAGGAGACCTCTAAATGATGGCAAAGCACAATGCCTTCCCTCTGATAGGGGTGGGCAGATGGGGCTAATTTGAATAGATTTAAATATCGTAGGTTAGTGATATTTACACAGGGCTCATTTCCTTTCCGACTGACTTTCGGCTCTTTCCCTCCTTAAGGGTTCTCAAAACAAGAGCTCTACGAGTTTCCCTGCAGAGAGCGAGAGTGTGGCTTTTTAGTATTCGAACTCAACCCAATGATGCATCTACACAGTAAGGCCTTCAACAAGGTCCCCCATGACCTTCTGGCAAACAAACTAGTCCAATGTGGGCTAGGCAAAACTACGGTGAGGTGGATCAGTAATTGGTTAAATGGACGAACCCAGAGGGTGCTCACCAATACTTCCCCTTCATCCTGGAAAGAAGTGACAAGTGGAGTGCCACCAGCAGGGTTCCGTCCTGGGCCCGGTCCTGTTCAACATCTTCATTCATGACTGAGATGAAGGGCTAGAAGGCATGATCATCAAGTTTGCAGACGGGACCAAATTGGGAGGGATAGCCAATACTCCAGAGAAGAGGAGCAGAATTCAATGCGATCTTGACAGATTAGAGAGATGATTGGCCAAAACTAACAAAATGAAGTTCAACAGGGACAAATGCAAGATACTCCACTTAGGCATAAAAAACGAAATGCGAAGATACAGAACGGGGGACACTTGGCTTGAGAGCAGTACGTGTGAAAAAGATCTTGGAGTCCCTGTGGACAACAAGTTAAACATGAGCCAACAATGTGAT